CATCGGGCTCCCTGCTCAGTGGGGAGTCTGCTTCTCCCTCTGATCCTCCCCCTCTCATGCTGTCTGTCTCCCATTCTCTCTCTCAGATAAATAAATAAAATCTTAAAAAAAAAAAAAAGAATCAAAAGCCAGAAAATAATGTGTTGGTGAGGATGTGGAGAAATTGGAACCTTCCACACATGGCTGGTGGGTATGCAAAATGGTGTGGCCATTTTAGGAAACAGTGTGGCAGTTCCTCAGAAGACTGAACATAGAGTTACCAAATGACCCAGCAAGTCTACTCCTAGGTATATATCCAGGAGAAATGAAAACAAGGGTCCACAAACTTGTATATGAATATTTATAGCAGCATTATTCATAATAGCCAAAAGTGGGAATGATCCAAATGTCAATCAACTGGCAGATGGATAAGCAAAACATGATATATTCATAATATGGAGTATTATTCAGCCATAAAAAGGAATGAAGTACTGATTGCAGAAAGATGAACCTCAGAAATATGATGCTAAGTAAAATAATCCAAACAGGGATGCCTGGGTGGCTCAGTTGGTTGAGCATCTGCCTTCGGCTCAGGTCATGATCCTGGGGTCCTAGGATGGAGCCCGGCGTTGGGGTCCCTGCTCAGTGGGGAGTCTGCTTCTCCCTCTCCTTCTCCCTCTGCCCTCCCCCATCCTGCTCGTGCTCGAGCTCTCTCAAAACATCCTAACACAAAAGACAACATATTGCAGGACTCCATTTATATGAAGCATCTAGAATAAACAAATCTATAGAGACAGAAAGCAGGTTAGTGGTTGCTTAGGGCTGGGGGTGAGTTGGAGTGGGGACTGAGGAAATAGAGTGGTGATAAAGGGTATGGGGTTTCTTTTGGGGGTGGTGAAAATATTCTAAAATTGACTGTGGTGATGGTTATACAATTCTGTGAATAGATTAGAAACACTGAATTGTCCACTCCTTCAATGTATGAATTGTACGGTATGTGAACTATATTCCAATAAAGCTGATTGATCAATCAATCAATCAATAAATAGCACCCTGTGCTATGTATTTCTTGGGTTGGAAGACTGATTTCCCAAATTGATCTACAGACTAAGCTTAATCCCTATGAAGATGCCAGTGTGCTCTTTTTCATAGAAATTGACAGCTTGATCCTAAAATCCATATGTTAATGCAAGGGACTCAGAATAGCCAAACAATCTTGAAAAAGAAGAACAAAGCTGGAAGACTCACACTTCCTGATTTCAAAACTTTCTGCAAAGCTAGGTAATTGAGACAGTGCGGTAGTGCCATAAGGAAAGATACATAGATCAATGGAAGGAAATTGGGAGTCCAGAAAGAAACACTCACGTCGGGGCTCCTGGGTAGCTCAGTCGTTAAGCGACTGCCTTCGGCTCAGGTCATGATCCCAGGGTCCTGGGATGGAGCCCAGCATCGGGCTCCCTGCTCCGCGGGAAGCCTGCTTCTCCCTCTCCCACTCCCCCTGCTTGTGTGACCTCTCTCACTGTCTCTCTCTGTCAAATAAATAAATAAAATCTTAAAAAAAAAAAAAAGAAAGAAAGAAAGAACCACTCACGTCCACAGTCAGTTGGTTTTCAGTAAGAGTGCCAAAACAAATCAATAGGGAAAGAACTGTCTTCAACAAATGGTACTGAACAGCTGGAAATCCACATGAATGCAGCTGGACTCCTACCTCACACCATATACAAAAACTAAGTGAAAGTGGCTCCTAGACCTAGATGTAAGAGATAAACCATAAACCATTTACTCCTGTGTTGTAGAAGAAAACATAGGAGTAAATCTTCGTGACCTTGGTCAGGCAGTGGTTTCTTAGATATGCCACCAAAAGCATAAGCGACACCGCACCAAAAAAGGTGACAAAATAAAGAGAGGCATACGCTGTACTTCAGCAAAATTTAAAACTTTGCATATCAAAGGACACTGTCAATAGAGTGAAAAGACAATTCAGAATGATAGAAAACATTTACAAGGGACGCCTGGGTGGCTCAGTCGTTAAGCGTCTGCCTTCGGCTCAGGTCCTGATCCCAGGATCCTGGGATTGAGCCCCGCATCGGGCTCCAGCCTGCTTCTCCCTCTGCCTGCCGCTCTCCCTGCTGTGCTCTCTCTCTCTCCCTCTCTGACAAATAAATAAATAAAATCTTAAAAAATTTACAAATCACACACATGGCATCATATATCCAGAATACATAAGTAACTTTTTTTTAACATTTATTTATTTTAGAGAGAGAGAAAGTGTGCACACGTGCGTGTCTGAGCAGGGGGAAGGCAGAGGGAGAGAGAGAATCCTCAAGCAGACTCCCCGCTGAGCATGGAGCCCCACTCGGGACTCAATCCCAGGACCTGAGCTCATGACCTGAGCCAAAACCAAGAGCCAGCCATTCAACCGACTGAGCCACCCAGGCGCCCATATATAAAGAACTCTTACAACTCAACAATAGAATGACAACCCAATTACAACTAGGAAAATAATCTGAACAGATATTTCTCCAAAGAAAAGACACAAATGGCTGGTAGGCACACGAAAAGATGCTCAACACAGTTAATCACCAGGGAAATGCAAATCAAAACCATAATAAGGTACACTTCATACCCACGAGGGTGGCTAGAATCAAAGAGGTAGAAACTAAGAAGCGTTGGTGAGGAGGCAGAGAAATTGGAGCCCTCACCCACCGCTAGTGGGAAAGCAAAATGGTGCAGCTACTTTGGGAAACAGCCTGGCAGTTCCTCAAACCTGAAACACAGAGTGATCATGTGATCCAGCAATTCCACCATGAGGTATATGCCCAAGAAAAATGAAAACATACGTCCACAGGAAAATGTGTACCCCACTGTTCACAGGGGCCACTACTCCTAACAGCCTACTGTTTGTGGGGGAAACAGCCAAATGTTCACCAACTGATAAACAAAAGTAATCTATCCATTCTGTGGAATAGCATTTGGCAATGATAAGAGTCAAGTACTGATACATGGGACAGCATGGATAAACCTTGAAGACATCATGGTAAGTGCAAAAGTGGGGCTCAAGGAGGAGCAGGAAGAAGAATGATAGCTAATGGTTAAGGGTTTTTTGGGACGCTGTTGAAAATGTCCTAAAATTGATTTTAATAGTTGCAGAACTCTGTGAATATACTAAAATCCCTGAGCTGTACACTTTTTTTTTTTGAACTGTACACTTTTTAAATTTTTTTAAATAGGCTCCATGCCCAATGTGGGGCTTGAACTTATGACCCTGAGATCAAGAGTCACCCACTCTACAGACTAAGTCAGCCAGGCGTCCCTGAACCATACTCTTTAAATGGATGAATATTCTGGTATACACACAAATATATGTATGAATATATTTCAACAAAGCTGTAAAAAAATAGCATCCTTGTTTTAGAAAAAATTGGGGTAAGTCCAACACAATCTATTGGATGGCTATTTGGGAGTTGTTAATTTTGTCAGGAGTGGGGGCGCTGGGTGGCTCAGTTGGTTAAGTGTCTGCCTTGGGCTCAGTTCATGATCCCAGCATCCTGGGATTGAGCCCCTCCTCGGGCTCCCTGCTCAGCGGGGAGCCTACTTCTCCCTCTCCCTCTGCCACTCCCCCTGCTTATGCTCTTTTGCTCGCTCTCTCTCAAATAAATAAAATCAATCAATCAAACTCTGGTTCTGGGCAGGGCCTGCGAGCCTGCAATTCTGGGAGAGCTCCGCAGGTGGGGCCGGTGCTCCAGCAGGCTCGGGAAGCCTTGGGTCGGAGCCTCCTGAGGGGTCTTCGGGGACAAGTACATACTGCGAGCAAGGGGAGCCCAGTTTTCCTCGCTCAGCAGTTCTCAACAGGGGCGAGTTGGCCCCCAACAAGCATTTGGCCAAGTCTGCAGACAGTTTTGGTTGTCACCACCAGGGGTCGCTCCTGGCACCCGGACGGTGGAGGCCAGGGATGCTGCCCAACATCCCCCAGTGCACGACACAGTCGTCACCGCAGAGAATTATCGGTGAGGGTGAGGGACGCTGCAATCTCAGCGTCTAGTAAGGACTTGTGGCAGTGCCCGAGCTCCAGATCTGGCAGTGTGCTAACCATGCCTGTGGAGCCCCGCCAACCTTTCAAGAGCCCCCTTGTTGTCAGCCCTCGTTTTCTGGGCACCATTCACCCCGTCTGGGGTGGGTGCTAGGGCTGGCAGGCTAGTCTTTCCCCACTTTGGGCCCTCACACCTTGACAGGTGTTTGTAAAGGACGCCAGCCCTAGAGGAAGGGGGTCAGCGGCAGGTGAGGTGACCTGGACATCGACATGACATTTGGTCTGCCAGCTTGACCTGCTGGTTGGTGCAGACACTTAGCTAAGCAGCTTGCACCATCCCAGAGCCAGCTACCATGGCAACCCCCTCGAAGAGGAGGGGCTGGGAGGCGGTCATTGTGGTAACTCCCCACAACCTCAGCCAGGCCTGGAGTTGGGGGGGCACATTCTCTAATCCTAGGTGTGCAAACAGTCCTCTGAGGGCTGCACACCCATGTCCGAGCCTGTCTGCCAGCCTCCTTCACAAGCCGGCTGGGTCACTCTGGGTACTGTGCATTCCAGAAGTCTCCACGCATCAAGGCAGGCGGGGGCGGCGGGGGGGAAGGCTGCTCGGACACTGTGTCCACGTTTCTAGCCTCCAAGGCCTCCATAACCTGAACTGGGCCACCCATGCAGCATTCTTTATCTCTAGCAACAATTCCCGTCTTCAAGTCTGTCTTGTCTGACATGAGCTGCGTGGCCACTCTAGCTCTCTGCTGATTGCGGCGTGCATGGCGTATCTTTTTTTCTATCCTTTTACTTTCAACCGATTGGTCTTTGAATCTAGAATGTCTCTTGTCGAGGGTATAGTGAGATCATGCCTTTTTTCTTTTAATCCAATCTGCCAATATCTGCTGTGTGTGTGGTAACACGAAGAATTCAGTGGCATTCGGTACATTCACAAGGTTGGCAACTGCCACCACTATCTAGTTTCCGAACATTTTCAATACTCTGAGGAGAAACCCTGTACCCATCAGCAGTCACTCCCGCTGCCCCCACCTCCTAGCCCCTGGCAAATGCCAACCTACTTTCTTTCGCTACGGATTTGCCTGTTCTCGGTGTTTCATAGAAACAGAAGCATGCGGTATGTAGTCCTGTGTGTCTGGCTTCTTCACTGAGCACCTGATTTGACATTGGTCCATGTTGCCTCACCTCTCAGCCCACCTTGGCCAGACCGCACCCTCTCTCTGTCCCTCAGGGCTCTGGTGCCTGACTTTGCTGAGGTCCCAGTCATCCCAGTTTCCCTGCTCAGTTCAAGTCTCTGGATAATACTAACAGTGGCCACTGATTGGATGCCCAGAATACCTGGAGCTCTGTGCTGAGCACTTCCCACGCATTATCTTGTTTAGTATTATCTCTAGGCAATCCTGGGAGGGGGAAACCATGATCATCGCCCGACCATTCCAGTGGGTAAGTGACAGCACGCTCAGCACTCTACATTCCTATGCCTTTCACCGACCCTCTTGGCCCAGGTTTGCACCACCTCCCCATTTTCTGACAGTGTGTGACCCTGAGTGGGTTAACCTTTCAGTGCTTCAATTCCTCACCTGTAAGCTGGGGATCGTAATCACACCTGTCTCACAGAGGTGCTATGAAGATCAAAGGAGCTAACAGATATAAGCCTCTGGCTCACTTGGAGCATGGTGAGCGCTCCTTCTAGCGGTTTCCCTGGGGAGGGAGCCAAACAGAGCCTCGAGGGTGAAGGGGACAGTGAGGAGATGAGGGAACCAGGGAATGGCAGACTTTGGTCTGTGTTTCCAAACTCTCTTCATCACTGCAAAAGGAGACCTCATAACCACTAGGCTATCCTTCCCTACCCCTCTCCTCCTCCCCCAGCCCCTGGCAACCACCAGTCTGCTTTCTGTCTCTATGGATTTGCCTGTTTCATACAAATGGAATCATACCATATGTGGCCTTTTGTGTCTGGCTTCTTTCCTCAACACTTGACAAAGGATACAAGCTTGGAGCTTTGGCTCTGCCTTACTCCAAAGCCCCATTCCTGCCCCTGTGTTTGGGGAGAGCCCATCACAAGGGGCATAAGGGAATAGAGGGTAAGATGCCTGGGAGGAGAGCAAGGAGGGCAGGAAGCTTCGGGAGGCCAGGTGGTTTACCTTTGCCGTGGCTTCTTCGTTGCCCTCCACCATCTTCCGGAGCTTTATCAGGTGCCACAGGTCCTGGGCGGGCTGGCCCCTGCCCTGGCTGCCCTCCAGCAGCTGGGAAGTGGAGGGCAGGTCCTGCAGCACGGCCAGCTGGCTCTCCATCTTGTCGATGCGGCTGACCACGTGGTCAAAGACATTGCTGAGCCTCTTCATGGGGCTGAGGACGGGCTGGGCGTCTGCTTCCCGGGGCATGAACACAACTGGTGAGGTCTGGAGAAAGTCCTCGTCTCCTGAGAGGACCTTCTTGAGCTCAGCCATGTGGATGTGCTCCAGGATGCCCTGAAGCAGGAGGTGCAGGGCCTTGAAGTTCACCACCCCGCACTGCGGGATGGCGATGTTGACCAGCTCGGAGAACGTGAGTGAGAAACTCATCCCGCAGGTAGGCTCGGTGTGGCTGGGCTTCTGGGCGTCCTCGGGGACAAGTGGTGGCTTTCAGGGAACCCACAAGCTGTGTGGACAGATCCGCAGAGGTCCAGGGAAGCAGCAGGTCATGGGAGAAAATGGCCTCTGTCCGGGCCGGAGTTCAGATGAGAGCTTCTGGTTGCTAGGACACCAGAGAACGTGGGCGAGTGGGCGTGCTTCTGAGACCCCGGAGTGGGGCAGGGTGGGTGCTCAATTAGAAGGTGCTGGGTGTTTGAACAGATGGACGGTCAGCCTTTCAGTTCAAGCCCTTCAGTTATGGAAGACCGATGACCCCTTCCAAGAAGCATGCAGCGAAGGTGATGGGGAAGTAGCTCGCTTCTTGGAAGCCTCTAGAATCAGGACAGGAGAGAGTTCTTGGAGTTAGGAAAGCCTGGGTTTTGAGAAAAGAGGATGCAGAGAAAAGAGACCAGCTTCGTGCTTCAAATGCCCTGCAGGTGTTCGGGTTTCTGGCGGGGGTGGGGCTGGTGGTAAAAAGGGTAAGAGGCAGCTGGCTTCCCACAGGTCTGAACCCTGCATGGCCCTGCCCACCCAGGGGCACCAATGAGGACGCCCGTGCCAAACCCTGCTCTGCTTCCCCCTAGGGCCAGGGCTCGCTAACACGTCAGTGCCCCGAGGACGTATCTGTGAGCCAGCTGCCACAGGACCTGGAAACCACATGGGGCCCTATGTGGTCAGGCCCCACTTGTGTCAATTCTTGGACAAGAAAACGGCAGCCTGCTCGTCCTGGTCTCCGACGGAAGTCTGCAGCGAAGGTCCTTGGCTTAACCCCTGGAGCCCCGACTCCTGGCCCACCCCACCGTTCTGGACATGATACACACTGCTTATATACAGCGCGTGGCAGGAGTCCTGCTCGGGGGTGTCGTTGGCTAAGGGGCAATCTCCCCCAGCTTCCCCATAGAAAGTGGAGCACCTGTCCACTCTGGGTTTATGGAGATGGGTGCATGACTCTTTATCAACAGCTGTGTGACCTTGGCAAATGACTTAACCTCTCTGAGTCTCAGCTTCCCTGCTGGCTAAATTGGAAATAAGACCTTCCATGTGAGGTTGCCTCCGGGAGGGCAGTGCGTGTGTGTGCGTGTGCGTGTGTGTACATAGAAATAATACATGTGAAGGGCCAGGCCACTATGACTCAAAATAATTCCTTTCCCCCAGAACTGACCTGATATCCCACTCCTGCCAATGATCGTGGCCATCAGAGAAAGAGCCCAGGAGGCTCGTTATGAATTCAATGGAAGTGTATTTTCAGGGATGTTGTTTGCTAATTACATGTTCTTTTTTTTTTTTTTTTTAAGATTTTATTTATTTACTTGACAGAGAGAGACAGTGAGAGAGGGAACACAAGCAGGGGGAGTGGGAGAAGGAGAAGCAGGCTTCCCGCTGAGCAGGAAGCCCAATGCTAGGCTCGATCCCAGGATCCTGGGATCATGACCTGAGCCGAAGACAGATGCCCAACAATTGAGCCACCCAGGCGCCCCTAATTACATGTTCTTGACCTCACATCAGCAAATGCTTCTGCTGAGGCCATTACTAGTCTATCCACAAAAGCTAGTTCTTCAGGAACAGTGGGCACTCATGTCGGACTCTCCATGCTACCGTGGCCAGTAATCTCCAGACACACCAGCCTGCTTTGAAAGAATTGCTTAATTACATTAAAGGAATTTGTCCACCTCAAGAGGCAATAATAATAATAATAATAATAATAATAAATAAAATGACAACAACAACAACAAGAAAACACACAAAGACCCACTCCTCCCCAGTTCAGTCTGGGTCCCACTTGGATACTCCTTTTTTTGTTGTTGTTTTTGGTAACAGCTTTATTGAGATATAATTCCCATACCATACAATCCACCCATTTAAAGTATACAATCCAGTAACTTGTAGTATGTCACAGAGTTTTGCAGCCCTCACTGCAATCAACGTCAGCCCATCACCCTAACCAGAAACGCGGTGCCCATTAGCACGCACTCCCCACCCTCCAGTGCCTGGCATTCATTAACCTACATTCTGTCTGCAGATTTGCCTATTCTGGACATTTGTATAAATGAAATCATATCATGTGTGGCCTTTTGTAACTGGTTTCTTTCACCGAGCCTCATGGTTTCAAGGTTCATCCACATTGTGGCAGGTATCAATACTTTGTAGTACATTGTAGCAGGTGTCATTCCTTTTCACGGTTGAATCATATTCCACCGTATGGATGGACCAGTTTTTAATCTGTCCATCCTCGGATGGATATTTGGGCCAATTCTACCTCTTCACTATTGTGGATAATGCTGCTACGAATGATACTGTACAAGTCTTCAGTTACTTGGTGTCGATGGCTTAGGGGCCGAGCCGCTGGGTCAGACGGTGAGTCTGTGTTAACACTTTGAGGAACTGCCAGACTGTTCCACAGTGGCTACAGTATTTTACCTTCCCACCCCCAGCTGTGGGGGTTACGATTTCTCTCCATCATCATCAACACTTGTGATTGCCCGTCTTTGTCATTACAGCTGGTGGTGGGTGTTGGATTCTCCTTGCTATGTAGCTATCAGACATCAGGCTTATAGCCCCCTGCCATACACTCATTTATCCTGGGCAATCAGGATGGTTGTTTGAGATTTTCAGATGTTTAAAATGACCACCCCTCCAGTGAGTCACATTTCCCTGAAAAGAACACCCAGAAACCTTGGAAAAGATGCAAGCAGGCTACCCGGGGGAGCACCCAGAGGGACGGCCACTCTCTCTTCAAGCACACTCCACCAGGGGTAACTTGGATGGATGACCTTTCCCCTCCCAAACTTGTCTCTGACCCTAGCAGATGTCATAAACGACACAACCGCCATCCCAGCGAACCAGGTGGAGTGTACCTTCACGAGCGGATCATGAAGCCCTGAGTTTCTTGTTGTCAACCCAGGGTGAGTTGATGCTCAGACAGACGTTCTTGCTGCACCTATGTAAATGCTACATGGGTGGGTCAAGTGGAATGCGATGGGTCAAGTAGAACAGTTTGTGACTAGGCTTTAAAAAGAAAAAGCCACCGGGCTCTCTAGGGAAAGCCAGCTGGACTCTGGGGCAGGTTTTCACAGCCTGGGTTTGGCAATCGAGGCCGCAGTCTTCAGGATCTGGAACCAGAGCCAGGAGCCAGGTTTGTTTCTGATAATGACCTGTGTGGCAGGCGGCTGATGCATTCTGTGCAGCAACGGTCCGGTGACCGGTGAGAGGCCGGACCATCTCACTCTGCAGGACGGCGGGAGGGAGGGTGTAACCCGAGCCCAGCTTCGGTGACGTTCTCTGAACCAGCTCCTGACCAGCAACAGTTGGCCATGGCAAAGCTCTGGATACTGGAGACCAAGCTTCTGAGGGCCAACTGTGGATGCCTCTGGCTACACGGGGAGTGGAGGGAGAGAAAAGGAGCCCCTGAATGGGGAACTGGCCTGGAGCTATGGGCCCTGGGGCTGCTGGGAGGGCCTTGGTATGCTCCACTGGACACCAACAACCTCACAGAACACCAGCCCCCGACGGGGCGGCTCTGCCCCCATGATGGGCCGACCCAAAACAAGACCAGCTGCAATCACGTCTGAACTCAAAAACAAGAACATTGTCCAGACCACAAACATGACTAGACAGCCCCCCATCCTGGCTAATATGAGTGACCGTGGCTTCTTGACCCACAGAGCATTAGTGCTCCATCATTCCTCTTGCCTTCTAGATGAGACTGCTTGAGAGACCTGATCACAGAATTACCTCTGCTTCCCAACCGCGCCAATCCAAAACACTCCCCCATTACCTAACACGGACCCCAATTCTGTAAGCTCTTCTAACTTAACCCCCCACCAACATGCCTGTGGGTTCCTCAATTCAAGTGCTGCCCTGACATCTTTGGGCCTCTGGGGGCTTCTGAGTCCCCTGTACTCATCATATGTGACCCCTCCCACCCCCCCACCCCAACAGCTGCCACCATCGTTGGAAAAAGCTCCCCACCCAGCCAGTTCTTCTGCCAGCCAGACCAGCCACACTCCACCCTGTCCTCAGTTTGGGAGGGCTTCGGTTTTCCTGCCAGCTTGCAAGCCAATCACATCCTCCTGCAGAAACCAGGAGGCACCCCATCCCATTATTATAAACGGCAGCCCACAGCTCTTGCTGGTTCACTCTGTTGCTGACTGCAAGCCCAAGTGGCCCCACATGGTGAGTGGTGTCCTCCTTCCCCCCCCAGCCGTGAGTCCATGTGACTAATAACTGCTGTCCATCTCACCTGGCCAGCACCAGGTGTCATACTATTGAGGGCGGGGGTCCCTCCCATACCACCACGTGCCAACAAGTCAATGAGCCCAGCTTTGCTCAACATAGTGGGTTCTTGGCTGCAGGGGCGGATCCTGCAAACTTAACGAAAAACCTTGCAGTGGGCAGAGCTTTGTGGATTTTGGAACTGCAGGCGAGGGATTGAGGAGCTGTATTATTGCAGAACTCTGAGCAAGACTTTCCTCAGCGGGCAAGGGACCATCAGGGGAAATGAGTAGCTTAGCACAGAAACAAGGATGTAGAGAGGAGCACGGGGCCAGACCAGGGGCTCCCCACTGGCCTTATGAAGAAGTGTGAGTGCCAGAATTTGAAGCAATTCTGGTCACTGGGGTTAAGTGGGTATGGGTGTAATGGGGTATGGGGTATGGGTAAGTGGGTGTAATGGTTCTTTGTCATTTGGGGGGGATGCCCAGCATCCAAACCATCCCTGTATTGGGGGAGGAAGCTTCCACTTGAGGAGTCCTGGTGGGAGGCGGAGAGCTGCTGACTAGCTCCCCAGATCACTCTGAAGTGAGGGCAGGGGCACGTTTTGGTCACTCCCGGGGCCCAGGGTGTGTGTGTTCCTCCGGGCTCGAAGAGAGTGAAGCTACTAAATCAGCGCAAGTTGCAATCGTTCAGAGAGCTGGAAATGCACCGCAAAGAGCCCCATCTGGTCTCAGGCCTTCGAGATAAGGCTGCAAGCTGACCACAGAGATACTGATCTGTTCCCCCGCACCCGGCACTGGGCCTGGCCCTTCGTTCTTTTCTTCAACCAATATTTACTGGGCACCTACTATGTGCCAGAGGATGCTCTTAATTCTGGAGGAGACCACAGCGAGCAGGTCTGAGGAGGTCTCTGACCTCACAGAGCTTGCTGCCTAGCGGGGAAATGTTATTTTACAACAAAGAAATAAACTAACGTCAGGTA